TCTTATATATAACCTAGCACACTTCTTCTTGGAGATAATATACTGAATACACAAATATCCGTAGACTGAAACTCCAGTGGCTTATTCTTTCTCCCACTAGTCCCTGCGAATGCAGAGTCTCTCTTTTTTTTACTTAAATAAAACCTCACTTCTGCTTTCACAGTTGGTCCTGGACTCATGTCACCGCTTTTCCTCCAGCAGTGACTGAGCTGGGTTGATTTAGAATTCAAACTCAGAAAGACTGATTTAGAGGTCATGCTCTAATTTCTTTGATGGATTTTAATAGATTCTTCTGTAATTTTGAATACTTACTTCATAATGTTTTGAGAATGAAATGACAAACTGCATGTGGTCTTGTAATGCATTCTGTGATACTAACATTTTTTTTCCCCAAGAATTATTTGGGCATCTGCAGATCAGGTACTGAGGTCACCATTGTGAATCATAAAACTGCTCTCTAAAAACAGTCTAAGCAGATTTTTAAATTAAGTGTCATTTGGATATTTATAAATCTTCACATGACATTTAAAATTTTCAACTTAAAAATTAACCTTCCATTGATTTATTGAATTTGAAGTGTGACCTGTGGTTTCCTTGGCATTCCAGACCAAATTTCACTGACTTTATGCAGCCTGCTGGCCATATATTCCCTCACCCCTGTTGTAAAACCTGAATATGAGACAGTGTATTTTCATTCTAAGTAGTAGGGTCCAGTGTGGAAGCCTAGTGGCTAAAGTCTTCCCTTTTCATGTGCCAGGATCCCATATAGGCATGCTCTGGTTCCCTTCTAGCTCCCTATGTGTGGTCTGGGAAAGCATTCAAGGACGGCCCAAAGCCTTGGGACCCTGCACCCACATGGGAGACCCAGAAGAAGCTCCTGGCTCCTGACTTTGGATCAGCTCTAGCTGTTGCAGCCACTTGGGGAGTGAATCAGTCGGTGGAAAATCTTCCTGTCTCTCCTTCTCTCTGTAAATCTGCTTTTCCAAAAAAAAAAAGTAGCCCACCCTCCAACTCCAAATGTTCCTTCAGGTTAGTGTATATCACCAGTATCACCATCATCTTAGGTATAATTATTACCACGAGGCCTTGGTATCTGTTGATTACTTACTACTTAAAATATCTGCTGTAGGAAGCTTCTAAGTATCCAGTCATATTGTTTTCCCTGTCATGCATAGAAGCAGTCCTATCACTTTGTTATATTTGGAGATAGCCAATCAGTAATAAGATTATTAAAGGGAGCAAGAGTGTGAAGGTGCATTCCCAACATTTAAGATAAAGGTATTAAACAAGGCTGCTGTATTCTTGAAGAGTATAAAGAGTATACCTCTACAAAATTTAAAGGGTATGGTAAATGGAATACAATTCCTTAATCAAGGTAATTCTCCTAATCACTGGTTCATGGTTGTTAGGAAATACTTCTTTAAATAAAACTTAACTGGGTATATGTGAACTGTGGTCTCCAGTTTAGACTTGATGAGGTTGACAGGTGCAGAGTTAAATTAGAGCCTATGAATTTGCCTCTTGCTGTCTCTGTATATTTATAAATAGCATCACCAAGTAGCTTAATGGCTAGTTTTAATTGTAACTCATTTCGCTTTGAAAAAAAAAAGGTAAATAGAACTTTTTGTTCCTGTTTAACTGTATGGATTGATATGTAGCAATAAAAAGCATAAAGTATGTATTGAGTAGGGCTTTAAGTGCAGGGAAGATACATTTGGCAGAATGTTTTAATTTGGTTTTTGTTCTTAACTGTATCTTTACTAGAAAACATTTTATGTATTAGAAGAATTTTTTTTTAAGATTTACTTATTTATTGGAAAGTCAGATATACAGAGAGGAGAGACAGAGAGGAAGATCTTTCGTCAGATGATTCACTCCCCAAGTGAGCGCAACGGCCGGTGCTATGCCAACCCGAAGCCAGGAGCCAGGAACTTGTTCCGGGTATCCCATGTGGGTGAAGGGTCCCAAAGCTTTGGACCATCCTCGACTGCTTTCCCAGGCCACAAGCAGGGAGCTGGATGGGAAGTGGAGCTGCCGGGATTAGAAGCGGCGCCCATATGGGATCCTGGCATGTTCAAGGCGAGGACTTTAGCCGCTAGGCCACGCTGCCGGGCCTAAAAATTTTTTTAAAAGATTTATTTGTTTTTATTGGAAAGGCAGATATACAGAGAGGAAGAGAGACAGAGAAAGATCTTCTATCCACTGGTTCACTGCCCAAGTGACAGCAACAGCTGGGGCTGAGCTGATCCAAAGCCAGGAGCCAGGAACTTCTTCCGAGTCTCCCACGCAGGTGCAAGGTCCCAAGGCTTTGGGCCATCCTTGCCTGCTTTCCCAGACTACAAGCAGGGAGCTGGAAGGGAAGTGGAGCAGCCAGGATACAACCCGGCGCCTAATGGGATCCCAGTGCACACAAGGCAAGGACTTTAACCACTAGGCTACTACACCAGGCCCTTATAATAAATCTTTTTTTTTTTTAAAGATTTATTTTTATTATTTTTTTTTATTGGAAAGGTGGATATACAGAGAGGAGAGACAGAGAGGAAGATCTTTCGTCCGATGATTCACTCCCCAAGTGAGCGCAACGGGCTGATACTATGCTGATCCGAAGCCAGGAGCCTCTTCTGAGTCTCCCACTCGGGTGCAGGGTCCCAAAGCTTTGGGCCATCCTCGACTGCTTTCCCGGGCCACAGGCAGGGAGCTGGAAGGGAAGCGGGGCTGCCGGGATTAGAACCGGCGCCCATATGGGATCCCGGGCGTGCAAGGCGAGGACCTTTAACCAGTTGCGCCACTGCGCCGGGCCCTATAATAAGTCTTAATACTAATTCATGAAAGGAATTAGCTCTCTTTTAAAAAAGAAGAGAGATTTGTTTATTTGGAAGTAAAGAATTCTAGAAAGAGAGAACTTCCCTTCACTGGCTCATTTCCCACGTAGAGCACGGTTGCCTTTTAGCATACACTGTTTCATTCATCCCTCACAGTATCTTATGATATAGATTTTAAAACCCCTGTGTGACAGGGGAAAAATTTAGATCAAAGGAATTTAGTCATTTGCCAGAAGTATGGCTTGTGAGTGGTAGAAGTGAGCTTGGAGCTCGGTGCTGACCTGATTTGCACATTATTCTTCTCCAATTCTGGGAATAGACACTTTTCTGAGATCAGATGAGATCGGATGCTTCCAGGATGATATGGCTGTAGACAATGGACAGTTCTCTAATGCAAGCTCTTAACGCCTTTAGTGTGAAAGTAGTAAGGCGTAATTTGAAGTGATTTGAAATTCCATATAGTTAGACTATAGCTAAATATTTTTCTATTATTTTATATGTGTTTAAGGAGGATAACCTCAAGATTTGATAACATCTCTAAAAAATTATATGATTAGGCTTAGAGGCTAATCCTCTACCTGCTAGCACCAGCATTCCATATGGGCCCCAGTTTGAGACCTAGCTGTTCCATTTCCTGTCTAGTTCTCTGCTTATGGCCTGGGAAAGCACTGTAAGATGACCCAAGGCCTTGGGACCCTCCATGCACATGGGAGACCAGGAAGAAATTTATCCTAGCTTCAGATCAGCTCAGCTCTGACTGTTACAGCCATTTGGGGAGTGAACTGGCAGATGGAAGACCTCTCTTTTTCTGTGAAATAAAATCTGCCTTTCAGAAAACTAAGTGAGGAGGGGAGGAATATAGATTAGTAGCTAGCACTTTGGCGTGGTGTACAGTGGCATTCCTTATGGGTGCAGCTCCTTGTTAATGCTTGGAAAAGCAGGAGAAGATGGCCTTAGTGGTTGGGCCCATGCACCCAGTGGGAGACCTAGAAAAAGCTCCTGGCAGCTGGCTGTGCCTGGTCCAGCTCTTTTGGGCTGTTGTGGCCATTTGGCGGGGGGAGGGGTGAACCAGTAGGTTGAAGGTCTTTTCTCTTTCTCTCCTCCTTTCTGTAAATCTGCTTTTCAAATAGAAATAAAGCTTTTTAGAAAATGATTTATTTTTTATTTATTTGAAAGGCAGAGTTAGAGAGCACTATCTTCCATCTGCTGGTACCCGCCTCCACACCCCAACTAAATGTCCGCAGCGTCTAGAGCTGAGCCAATCTAAAGCCATGAGCAAGCCAGGAGCTTCTTCTGGATCTCCCAAGTGAGTGCAGGGTCCCAAGGCTTTGGACTTTTCCCCTACTGCTTTCCCAGGCCATAATCAGGGAACTGGTACCCATACGGGATGCTGGCACTTGTAAGCAACATATTAACCAGTTGGTCCATTGCTTAGACAGACATGGAGTATTTTACCAAGGAGATGAAGAATAGAGCAGTGTGGTTGGAATGATGGGTTTATTTAGAGAACAGTAAGAGGCATGGTTCTGGGAACATTCTAGTGGGAAAGCATCCTTGATTTTGGTATGTCCACACTTTGTACTTTCTGAGGCAGACTTACCTATGTGATTTGATTATATGATCTGGGATATCAGGGAAGGGTAACTTTTTTGTTTTCAGCTTGGTACACTTCAGGAGCTGTGGGTCAAGCATTTATGAAAAAATTTTGTGTTAGTTCATCTCCTTTTATCAGGAAAAATACTTCAGTAGCTATTAACTATGACATCGAAGTGCCTGCCTCTCTCCTGGGACACAGAGGCAGTTCTTACATTCCTACAACAAAGTTAAAAGAGAAAGGCTCAACTTCTTTGGCCATTTCATGTAACACTTTTGCCTTCTTGTTCAGTTGTATTTCTCCTGTTGGAGAATCAAATCCTTGGTCAGGTTATAATCTGCACACATTTATGAGAATCTCTTTATTAATATTCATAGTTTTGTGAATGTGGCTTATATGTATGCTAATATAAGTAATTATAAGTTAGCCCAATCTTAATTTAATGAGGATTATGAATTATAGTTCCTGTTTTTTTATGTGGTCAGTTTTATTTGTAATTTTTATGGTTGATGTGAGTAATTATTTTTAAGATGTGCCATCATGGTGAGAGTTGTTTCACATAGCATGTTCTTTACCTCTTAAAGGGCTTTCATCAGAAGATGCTACACCTTTAATGCAAGAAAAGATACAAAGTATAGCCACTCATGCTGTTGATGATGAAGAGGTTGCTGAAGTAAATGCAAATAATCAACCTGAATCTCCAACACAAGTTCTGCAATCTTTGTTCTCACTTATACGAGGTGAAGTTGAACAGTTGGACTCAAGAGCACTGCCTCTTTGTCTTCATCAGGTACTGATTTTCAAACCTTCACCTCCAGCGTCACTGAATTAATCAAAAATCCAGTTCTCTCAGTTGATCCTGTCCTCATTTTTGGTGAATTCAAGGGGATGGTGACCCTGGATCACTGGCTAGTGGGAAAACTGACTTATTACTCACTTGTAGCCATTCCTTCACCTTGAATGACTCATAAGAATGGCCAGCTTGCTTTATTCTGTCAGTAAGTCGTACAAAAATAAGAATCAGTGTAACAAAATCTTAATAAGGATCAAGTAGGTACCACAAAGTAGGAAAGGAACAAAAATGGCTTAGTAAAGTATGTTCTTAATAAAATCCCCATGAATAAGAGAAACAGGTAAGTCAATAGTTATAGAATTCTGCAGTATGTGTTAGAGGAGGTGTTATGTTCAGCAATACAAGTGGGTGATTAATGTTGTCCCACAGGCACTAGGAAAAGAAGTAGCTCTTAAGCCAACATTTGCAGGATGATCAGATGCTCACTAAAGCTCGCAAGACAATGTGAGCTGGTGTCAGAAGAGCCAGAAATTCATGACTGGGATGCTACTGGAGGAAAAATCAGGAAGAAAAATAGAAATTGAATTTGTATAGCTGGTGACATTAATGCAAAACTTAAAAATTTGTATTTCTAGTCTGTTACGTATTTGAAAAGCAAACCTTGAGAAAGACAGAGATTCCCATCTGCTGATTCATGCCAGGGCTGGGCCAGATCAAAATTCGAAGCCAGGAAATCAGGCGGGGTTTCCCATGCGGGTTGCTGGGATCCAACCACTCCACCTTCTGTTCCCTCACAAGTACACATCAACAGGAAGCTGGGTCGGGAGCAGAACCAAGGCTTGAGTGCAGGTGCTCCAATGTGGATTCAGGCGTCCTAGGGACAGTCTAAGCTGTTAAACTAATTGCCTGTCTCTGGGAGTTGTTAATTATGGTGACAGTGCCACAAGGAACTGTGAACTTTAGAAAGCAAATTGTTTTGATGATCAGGGAGGGACTTTCAGAGACAGAGAGTCTTGGGAATAAGATGACACTGAGTCAAAGCTTTTATCGGAGAGTCTCGGGAATAAGACGCCTTTACAACTGTGAGTCAAAGCTTTGTTTTTTTTTTTTTTTCTTTAAGCAGTCTTTCAGAAAAAACTAAACCATTAGTGAACTGTTTTCTATTTTTATTTAAAATGTAAATAATTAGTATATGAGAATAGAGGAAGTTTTGCTTGTTATTTGTTTTATTTTAACCTTTTCAATGAGAATATTTTTTAATTTTTGAAAAACAGAAGGTTCTGGTGCCGCAGCATAGGGGATTACGCTGCAACATGGGACACCACCTGTATTCCATCTTGGAGTATATAGTTCAAGTCTATCTACTCTGTTGAGGTACTGATTGAGCCACCTGCTAGCACATCTGGGAAGCGGTCAATGATAGCCCAAGTACTTTGGTTCCTGCTACCCATGATAGAGATCCAAATGAAGTTTCTGGCTCCTGGCGTTGGCCTGGCCTGTCCTTGTCTGTTGTAAGCACTTGAAGAGTAATCAGTAGTGTTGTTAAGTAATTCTCCAAAGAACCTAGAGCTATAGTTATTATTAATCTTCATGCTCACAAGTGGGGAAACTAAGACTTCCTCACACAATAAGTTCCTTATAAAGCTGGAACTAGAATTTGTGTATTCCATTCAGCGCCTCTTTTTGGAAAAAGTTGGAGGAAATTTGAATACGAGTTGTATATATGTAATGACGTTGTATCAGTGAATAATTAGTTACTTAAGCGTGATAATGGCATTGTATGTTGTATAGAACAGACTTGAGTGCGGACATACATTCACAAGTATTTAGGGATAAAGTGGCATAATACCTGCAATTTACTCAAAATGGTTCCATGGTAGAAAATATGTAAGGGAGGGAAAGAAAGCAAATTTGACAAAACATCAGCAATTTACAAGTCTAAATGAAAGGCATTTAGCTATTGCTTTTACTTACTAGTCTTTGGACTCCTCTGGACATTTCAGTAAAAAGTTGAGGAAAAGGATATTTGGGAGCAGTAGGCATTTAGGCACATCCTATGTCAGTATCCCTAGGTTTGATCTCTTATTCTAGCTTCCTGCTATAAGCAGCGATGGCTGAACTAACCACTCCTGTGGATCTTACCAGTCTGGGGCAAAGCCTGGCTCCGGTCTTTGCTCCAGGCTCTTCCAGGCATTTTGGGGCACAGGGGTGGGGTGGGAGAATAGTAAATCAGTAATGGGAATACACTGTCTTTTCTCTGCTGTTCAAATTAAAATATTTTTAGGACTGAATGATTTATTTTATTTGAAAAACAGAATGACAGAGGGAAAGCCAGAAAACTGTCCACTTGTTCATTTCACAAATGCCACAACAGCCAGAATAGGGCCAGGCTGAAAAAACCAAGAGCCTGGCTCTCTACTCAGGCATCCCGTGTAGGTGATAGGAGCCTAAGTACTTCAGTAACATCTACTGCCTCCCAGGTGAGCAGGGAATCAGATTGGCAGCAAAGGTAGAACTCAGTCCCAGTTCTTCTAGTATGGGGTGTGCACATCCTAAGAGGGAGTTTAATGCACTGCACCCAATTCTCCTTCCCCCCTCAAATTTTAAATTATACAGAGGGAATATTTGGAAATAGAAAACAAAGGTAAAACTTTGAAAGACATTTTATCACTGAGTTGATGATTTATTAAAAATGGGAATGGTCTTTTCTTTTGGTAGGTATGCTTATAACAGAAGTAAATTTGCTAGAAAATCACATTTTTAAATAGGAATGTGATAATCACATCTGAAGACTATTTAATTTCTTTATGTCTCCAAATAAAATGCATTGTTAGTCCCAGGAACATATTGGTTTGCTAAATCTCGTGGATTCCGATTCTTAAATATGTCAGCACTCTGACCTCTCCTGGAAAAGGAACTTAGAGAACATAGTAGAGGTTCAAAGGTATGAGCTTTGTCTCTGCCACTAATAAGCTAAGTGGTTTCAGTTTCCTCTTCTGTAAATCTGTGGATCACTGAATGAATTACTGTATATAAAAGCATTTAACATAGTGTTTGGTACAGAGTTAAAGTCAAATAAATGCCAAACATTATAACTGTACCCTTGCTGTCACTAATTCTAAAAATGTATGTTGAAAATCAAGCCTAGAGTTAGTAAAGAAATGCTGAACGCTTCTAGAACCTACGACATCAGGGGACAGCAGCCAACTAACTAATGGCTGACTCCTCAGCCAAGGACTGCAGAATGTCCTGTCCCCTCCCAAGGGACACATGAGGGAGGGGCGGAAGTATGTTTTACTTCTTAGTGTGCCATCCTCTGCCTTTTCACCTAAAATCCGTAGTTGGTGATACTGTGTCAAGTTCTTGCTTTCTTGTTCTTACTCAGCCACACCCACATACGAACATTTATTCCACTGAAACTTTTTTTTTAAAAGTTGCAGATATATGTTACTTCACCCTGGGATGCTTGTCCTTACAAGTATCAAGAACAGATGTTGTTTTACATAACCCACAAAGTAATTATCAATCCCAAAAAATCAGATGTTGAAATGACAGTGTTATCTACTCTACAGACTCTGTACACATCGCCTCAGGTTGTCGCAAATGTTTTCTGGAACTGCTTTTCTCCTAATCCAGGATCCAGTGAAGGCTCACACTTTTTTTTTTTTAAGTTTTATTTATTTTTATTGGAAAGTCAGTTATACAAATAGGAGGAGAGACAGAGAAAGATCTTTAATCTGCTGGTTCACTCCCCAAGAGGTTATAACAGCCAGAACTGAGCCATTTTCAAACTAGGAGCCAGCAGCTTCTTCTGGGTCTCCCACATAGGTGCAGAATCCCAAGACTTTGTGTGGTCCTTGATTGCTTTCCCAGGCCACAAGCAGGGAGCTGGATGGGAAGTGGGGCTGCTAGGATTAGAACCGGCACCTAAATGGGATCCTGGCGTGTGCCACTGGTTTACTGCCCAAGTGGCTGCAACAGCTGGAGCTGAGCCAGTCCGAAACCAGGAGCCAGGAACTTCCTCCAGGTCTCCCACATGGGTGCAGGGTCCCAAAGCTTTGGGTCATTCTTGACTGCTTTTCTAGGTCATAAGCAGGGATGGGAAATAGAGCAGTCAGGACATGAACTGGTGTCCATATGGGATTCCAGTGCATGTAAGGAGAGGATTTAGTGACTAGGCTATTGTGCCAGGTTCAAAACTGTTTCTTGATGATTCATGCATCCACATCTCCCATGTGGGTAGCAGAGACCTAAGTGTCTGAGCCACCCACCACCTGCTGCTTATCCAGGGAAACTGGAATTGGGAATGGAGCCTGACCTTGAACTCGGGCTTTCATGTGTGATATAGGCATTCCCACTGGTATCTTAACTGCTGTTTCAAACCCAAGCTCCATATATTCTGTGAGTAAAAATTTTCTTATTTACCTTTGGAGTTGTTTGCTCTTGGCTTAAACAATGAAATACTTCAGGATTCAGTTCCTGAAACGCTCTCATTCTGCACTTACTTCCTGAATAATTGCTTCTAGCATTGCGGGTTTTGTCTGATTGCTTTCCCAAACATCATCCAGACTTGACTGGCCAACTGCCGGAGAGTTCTAATGGGCATTTCCAATTAAGTCTCTAAAACTTAACCTTGATCTTTCTGCTAAGTGCGCCTCTCTGCTAGTCTTCTCTCTGTGGCCAGTATCATGACTTGTCTTGCTCAAGTTGCTAGAGAGATACTTTTTATAGGGCAAATATTCGGTAAATTTATTTTTCAAGCTACGCTTTCTCCTGGAAATGTGAATTTACTTTTACAGAACTTTGTATCATGACCATAAGGTTCCTTTATGGCATTAGAACTACCATAGAAACCAAAAACGAGTTGAAAATGACGTTGCTGCAGTGCCAGAAAATTTGGTTTCGTAATCGGAGTGGACCCTATTACAACCTCTGAAATAAGAGCTATTTATAAATAACTCTGTGGCAAGGGTGAGCAAAATGGCTTTGAAAAACCAGAAACTTTACATGAATGGGCAACCTGAAATTATTTCATACATTAAAGGGAAACTATAAAGTGCCATTGATTTTTCCACTCAAAGTTTATAGTTGAAATGTTCTTGATTCCTTTTAGATGTGACCTGGTGTTTTCCTGGTGTACTGGCTCCTAAAAACTGTGTTCAGTAATGTCCATCCTGTCGGTGGCTGGAAATAGACCACGATAGGAATATTTCTCTGCAACAGTCTGTAACTAACCACTAAATAATTGTCAGCATTCTACTGGTTGACCATTATATAAAATTCTTATTTTGTAGACTGAAAAAAGAAGGTTGTATATTAGCAATTTGATTAGGTTCAAATAGGTAATTCTGTAACATTGTCAGAACAGTGAGCTGGTAAAGGACGATCAGAATCCAGTATGAAATCCAACTTTAGAAGAAATTGAAATTTTGCGTAGATAAGACAATCAAGTCATCTGCATTGCTTACAGAAATATGTCAGATCTATAGCATGGCTTCTGTGTAATGTATTTATCCATTTTCCTGTAAAAATGTTACTTTGGAGTAGATGTTTAGCATAGCAAGTACAATACCCCTTGGGAGATCTGCATTGTATGTCAGCACTGATAAATCCCTGGCCTTACTCTTGATTCTGGCTTCCTGCTAACTGGTAACCTGGAGGACTGCATGTGGTGACCTCAAATCCTGGAGCCATGCACCCACTAGGAGATGTGGATTGAGCTCCCAAATCCTATGCCCAGCCCAGCCCTGACTGTTGTGGTGGGTTCGGCAGTGGATTGTCAGAAGATCAGTCTTTCTCCCCCTCTGCTTCTCTGTTTCTTCCTTTCAAAGAAAATGAAAATGAATACATTTTATAATATGGTTTCCACTGGTGGGGTTGGGAGAAGCCGTTTCTTTTTCTTGCCAGTTTATAGGTTTGACAAGTACCTTATTACTATTGCATTGGCAGTAACCAGGAAAATGGAAATAATGTCTAGGAATAGAACAGCTTTTTTTGGGAGGGAGGGCCGCTAGAGATCTACTGTGAAGCTATGGAAACTTTGAATTTAAAGAGAGCTTGTCAAATGACAAGCCTTAACTGGAAGCAGTTCCTAAGTCTTTGAACTCTACCTAGATTTCTTTACACTGTGCAGCACTTCGTACATATTCTAAACATCATTATTTAACTGTTAACACTTGGCCTAACCTTTTCGTAAACACACAGAGCTAAAAAGTCACAGTCACGAGATCGTCTGTCCTTGGTTTGTGAAATAGGTATGAAATCAATGAAGTGTTAAGGTTTTACATGCTATGTATGACATATTGCTACTTTATAATTTATGATAAATGTTTATTTTTTCACCCCTGCTGTACCTTTTTAAAGTCTATGACATTTTCTTCATTCTTTAGAGATTCTTACTTCTCTTTTTAAGATTTACCTATTTTATTGGAAAAGTAGATTTACAAGATACAAGAAAGATCTTCTATCTATTGGATTACTCCCAAGTGACTGCAACAGCCAGAGCTGAGCTAATCTGAAACCAGGAGCCAGGAGTTTCTTCTGGGTCTCTCACGTGGGTGCAGTGTGCCAAGGCTTTGGGCCGTCCTCAACTGCCTTCCCAGGCCACAAGCAGGGAGCTGGATGAAAGTGGAGCAGTCAGGACACAACCCGGTGCCCATGTGGGATCCTAGTACATGCAAGACAAGGATTGTAGCCACTGAGCCATCACGCCAGGCCTGAGAATCTTACTTCTAAAGTCTAATGTGTTAAAGATTTGAATTGGCGTAGAACAGGAAAAATGAAATTGTAGAGATAAAAAGATGTCTGTGTTTGCCTAGTTTGAGATGCATGACTTCAGAATTTGTTCCATGCTCAAAATCAAATTCATTCTGAATTGTTGATGATAGCTAGTCTTTTCAGTTTGATGCAGAGATAGTTTCAAGGTGGTGATTAATTTCTTCCAGATTTACTTGTCATCTAAATGTTAATTTTATTTCCTTTGTTTTGTCTTTGTTTTTAACAGATAGCAGAGTCCTACTTTCAGGAGGAGGACTGTATCCTTTTTTTAATTACGGGAAGACCAAAATGTGTACAGTTTCCATCCTATTGTAGCACTAAACAAATTCAGCCTTCTGTAAAAGCTCTAATTGTACCAAAACTAAATTGCTTAAAAATGAAATTTAAAATGTCTTAAATTTTCATTATTTTGAATTAAACATATACACAAGTCAAGTAATATTCATGTAGTGAGGAATGTCAAGTTGATTAAAGCTATGGAGGGAAAACTAATTATTCACTAGAGAAAGCACAGTAAATGTTGTCACCTAAGACCACCTATTACTTTTGTGTAGAAAAGATTGCTCTAATTTTTAAAATTTCTTCTTTTGAAAGTTGGTTTTTTCGTGGGGGATTTGACCTAGTGAATGCTATCTAGAAAGAATGTATTATCAGTATGTGTGTTTCCCATTTGTGTCACTTACTTCCCTAATGTTGTTGATTTTCAACACACTTCTGACCAGACTGAGGGATAAGCTTCTTGGAAAGGCGGACTTTTTAAAAAAAAAGTATTTTATTTTGCTTTATTTTATTCCTGATTGGAAATTCAGATATACACAGAGGAAGAGAGACAGAGAGGAAGATCTTCTGTCTGCTGGTTCACTCTCTAAGTGGCCAAAATGGCCAGACCTGAGCCTATCTGAAGCCAGGAGCTAGGAGCCTCTTCTGGGTCTCCCACGTAGGTGCAGGGTCCCAAGGCTTTGGACCATCCTCAGTTGCTTTCCCAGGCCACAAGCAGGGAGCTGGATGGGAAGTGGGTCCGCTGGATGCAAACCAGTGCCCATATAGGATCCCGATGTGTGCAAGGCGAAAGCCCTAGTGGCTAGACTACCATGCTGGACCTGAAAGGCAGATTTATAATACTTAGCATCCAATCTACTGGGAGGGACAGGGACACAGTTCAGACCTACAAATCTAAACTGACCAAATTGTTCAGATAATTATTCAGTCAGGTTTGAGGAACATTTGGTATGCTTTTAGATTGTGGGTGAGTAGAGTGGAAGAACCATTCCTGCTTCTTTTATACGTCTTTGTGATCCCAGGGATCTTGAGGTCTGCATGTGACAGGGAGATCTGAACTCTACTGAGTGTTCATCGAAAAGACAAGGTGCTAAACTCTCTTTCTGTATCAGCATTTAGAACATCACCTCAAAAGAAGACAAGCATTTGGACCGTGCATCTTTATCTTAGAAGGTGTAGTAAATATATGAGACGGATGAGAAGACAAAAGCTCACAAGTAAATCTGCCCCCCAAAATGGAATCCCATGATTATGAAAATCCCTGTATTGAGTTAATTCTATTTTTTCCCTGAGATCTATAATAGTTTTTTTGTTCAGTCACTATTTTAAAATGTGATCCTGTGATTTTGGAGGAGGGGGAAAGAGCAGTATATAGGTTCTAGGATTCCATTTGGACCCCATTCCAATTTAGTTATCTTTCATTGAGTCTTCTAGAAATGTACCAGCAATCAGGCATTCTTTGAACAGTAAAACATTCTTTTAGTTTCTGGCAGTATGAAATTGTAAGTAGCTACTCCAGTAATACACTATATTAAAAATAACCTACTTTGAAACAGTACTCCAACTGTGCTTGAATTTAAAAATATTTAGAGAACTCTTCATTTTTGGCAAGTTGAAAATTTCTTAACTTCTGTTGACTATTATTTTTCAAATATAGGACAGTTAAGATGCTGATATCCCATGTTGGAGTACCTGGGTTCAATATCCAGTTCTGGCTCTTGACTGGCTTCCTGCTGATGCAGGCCCTGGAAGGCAGTGACTTCAGAGCAGATAAACCTGCCTTCCTTACTGGTTCTCAGTTCTTGGCTTTGACCTAGCCCACACTTAGCTTTTGAAGGCATTTGAGGAATGAACCCATGTTTTCTGGCTCAATTAAGTGTATCCCCGCTCCCCAGCTCTTTACATCCCCTAAATTAAAAATTGAGATCATTTGGCATTCTATCTTCCTTAAATTTTCTGTGCAGATGAGAAAGCCATGAAATTCATTCAACTTGAACGATTATATCATGAGCAGTTGCTTGCAAATCTTTCTGCCATTCAAGAACAGTGGGGTGAGTAGAGACTAACACAGAATGTGGAATTATCAGGTTAATGTGGAATTAACCTAACAAATTGCTATGTAGGAAATTAATGTATTTGGCTTGATTTTATAAAACAAGTAAATGTCTCAACAATAAAGGTAATGCTGCAGAGAACATATGTTTATCAGTTGTCTCTCATTGTGAGAAAATATTTTTATTTTGCTTTTCATGTCAGTGCCAAGGAAAGAACAGTTGGATTTGTTTGCATTTCTTCTGATGACCTTCCATGACCCACAATCTAATTTAATCTCTCCAATGACATTTACTTGTGATGAAAAGTAACCATTTAATTTCGTGTTAATTTATTTTAGTTATTTATGGAAGATAATTTTACCTTCTAATCCTTATCAGTAGTGTCAGTTAACTACTTTTCCCTGCCAAATGTGTTTTGTAAAGGCAGTGACTAACAGATATTTTAAATTTAGAAACAAAATGGAAAACCGTACAACCACATGCAATCACATCTCTAAGGAATTCAGAGAAGGCATTTAATGGTGAAGATTTTGAACGGCTTACTAAGTTTTGCACAACACATCAAGAGTAAGTATATCAGAATATGATTAGTATCAGTTGGAGTAAAATATTGAAAGATGGTGTTGAATATTTCAGATGCAAGATGTATTTGTTACTGTTTTCAAATGGAAGAATTTAAATAGGTGTAATAAGATTATTAGGTTCTTTTTTCAGGTTTATCTCTTATGCTAAACTCAGTAAAAGATTGACTTTTATAGAAATACAAAAGATTCTTCTAATTTTAAAAGCTAACAATTTTGATCCTTTTTTGGTTCAGATAGCAGCTAATTCAGATGGACAGAATCACGTATGCAAATGTTTTTATTCTAGTTACTTGTCAGTGTTAAGTGTTTGCATAGTTTAATCAAAGCATTAGAGTGCTCTAATGCTGGAAAACATACTGCACTATTTAATCAAAATATCTCAGAAGAAAAGCTCCATTTACCAGATAATTATCCAGTTGCCTGATGTATATTAAGGAACTGGATCCTTTTAGGATAAATTATTGTGATAATAAAGTGCTTTGAAAAGTGCTTTTAAAAAGTCATTGACCTAAAGCTGAAAACAAGGAGGTATGAAAATGCTTAAAGTTGAATTTTAATTTTTTTTTATTTCAGACATGAGTCTTCAAAATACAGGTTAAAATACTATGTTTTGTGTTCGCTTCGACAGCACATATGCTAAAATTGGAATGAACACTCTCCTTTTCTCTCAGACTAATGAAGTGTACACTAAAGCTCTCTCTCTTTTTTTTTTCATGTCACTAGGCACATTGTTTTAGTAGAAAATTATTCTGTTAAGAAATTATTTTGTTAGGTTATGATTTGGAAAACTGATAACAAATATTTCCCAAGCCAACCACTTTATGTTCTTAGAACCTGAGGTGGGTAGAAGAGATCTAGTAGTACACAAGATATAACACATGTTGTTTCATAGGAATCACTTTTATCTACATTTGTAGTAGGAGAGGAAACATAAAGAAGTTGATTTAAGAAACAATGATGTGGTAGAAAGAAAAGTTAACAGGGTAAAGAGAATGACCGATTGATAAAAGAAGGATTCTCAGAGAGAAATTTTGGGCTAACACTTGAAATATTAAGGAATTAGATATGCTGAAATGTGGAAAAGAAAAAAACATTCCCATTGAAGGAAAAAGCTAATTTAGAACTCTATGAAGTAGAAAGCGCCTGGAAATAACAGAGGGCCGATGGTTTTGTTGGAATGAACAGAAAAGAAAATTGATAGGAGTTAATAACCAAACGTTAGATAGATGCTAGAACACCCTAAGACTAGATAATTATATACGTTTTTTTAAAGATTGATTTTATTTTTTTATAGCAAAGTCAGATATACAGAGAGGAGGAGAGACAGAGAGGAAGATCTTCTGTCCAATGATTCACTCCCCAACCAGTTGCAATGGCTGGAGCTGAGCTGATCCGAAGACAGGAGCCTGAAGTTTCATCCAGGTTTCCCACATGGGTGCAGGAACCCAAGACTTTCCCAGGCCACAAGCAGGGAGCTGGATGGGAAGCGGGGCTGCCAAGATTAGAACCAGCGCCTAAATGGGATCCCAGTGTGTTCCAGGCGAGGACTTGAGCTGCTAGGCCAGCACGCCGAGAACTAAAGCTCTCTTAATGGAACTGTGCCGTATAGTTGTTACTGAGCTCATACAGTAGACAGAAAATTTGCTTTTGGATTTTCCCTTTGTGGAGACCAGCCTTTGAACAATAATTCCAGGTTCAGAGGCCTGTTATGAGTCACTTTGAACCTCAGAAATAGCATTTTTTTAGAAATTTGCATGTTTAACCTCATTTCTTAGCATTTAAATGGCTAAGCTTTCAATTTTGTATCATTATGAAATAATGGAATTTTTGAAAACAGAAATCATTTTTCTTAGTTTCAGAATATTTAAGGCAGTGCATGGGCATTGTGAGTCAGCATGTTAAGTCACCATTTGAGATTCCTTGTGTGCTGCCAGTCCACTTGCTCGGAGGACGCAGACAGCGGTTCAAACACTTGATTCCCAACAACCCACGTGGGAGACCTGGATGGAGTTTCTGGCTCCTGACATCAGCCTGGCCCAGGCCTGGCTGCTGCAGGGATTTGAGGAGTAAACTAGCAGATGGAAGATTCATCTCTTTTTCTCTCTCTCTGTTCCCTTTATGAAAAAATATTTGATACAGATACCTCTCCTGTCCTTCCCATGAAACTAATACTTTCTTAATATGTTAACAGTGATGTAGTTATTTAGCCAGTAAATACATATTACTTTTAATATTAGTATAGTCTCTATGCTGTAAAATTTGGATAATTTATCCCAAATAATTACTGTGAAATTTAGACTTAAATTTTTTTTTGATTCTTACATTATCTCAAAGTATAGGAGGTTGATTAACCTTTTGTATGCATACGTGTCTAACTCCCACTCTGAATAAGTTAGTGTCGCAGCCCCTGATGAGGCCCCTCTGAGATTTACAATGTCTCCCTGTTCGTGTTAATGACACCATACAGAATATAGATTTTTGTATCTAGCTTCTTGTACCCGTCATCATGTTTGCGTTAGAGATTGTTGCACTTAAGTGTAGTTTGATCTTTTTTATTGCTCTGCAGATTTGTTATATGACTGTGCAGCAGTTTATCCATTCTGTTGCTAATAGTCAGTGGTTCCTGATTTTTTAAATGTTGCTAATAAAGTGATTGAACAGTTCTGTGCATGCTTTTGCTGGATTTTTATGTTCCTTTATTTTGATATTCTTCAGAATCTAGTATTTAAAAGTTACTTTCTGTTATCTCATTCTATGCATGATTCCATTTAAATTTTCATCTACCATAATCTATTTTAGACTCCAGTAACATAAAATGAAGTTTGCAAAAAAAAAAAAAAAGAAATACACATGTCTGTGAAGGGTTTTAAATACACAATTGGCAGAAGTTTAGCATCTTTTTTGTTCCGTTATTTCAGCATTTGTAGCTTCTTTGAGGGTTGGTTACCTACGGAGACTAGCACATCACGTAGCTGCACTTTGAACCATGTGAGCAGTGTAGTGTTTCAGCCGGGGAAGTCCTCAGTGCTGATATTAGAATCCTGGCGAGCAGTATTTTTTTATAGCCATTTCAGTGACGTTTATTTGGAAGTTTATCACTGCTGTCATTCCTTAAAATTTTCTTCTTTTTTTTTTCCCCCACAGTCCTCTTTTAACCAAACATAAGGTAAGATATTGTTTCTTGTGAAAATATTTATAGAATAGTATTAGTGACAGTATGTTTGGCTGTTTAGAGCAAAATAATCTTTTTTTATTTTTTTAACTTTCTAAATTCATGTGTTTGTAAAAAGATTGATTTTTTTCCCCCGTATTTTAGATAGCAGCTGTGGAAAGATCCTTGCGAAAAAGAAGCTTTCCTCAGTTAATAGCCTCCAAAGAACCGAAGGAGAGAGGAACCGCAACCGGAGACTCAGGTGTGTTTGTAGATTGAGCTACAACAACCCACCCTGTGGTCTTTTACTGCATGCTCAATTGCTGTGAAGGATTTCTTTTCCCATTTACACTTTAATACATAACTCTCACCTAGAAAAAATTTGTTTTGTGCTTCCTCCTTATTTCCATAGTAGTAGATACTATAAAATACCTAAATTCTTACAAAAGCATAAAATTATTTCAGAATTTTTAATAGTTAGTACAGTGTGAAAAGTAGCTAACACTATGAGAAGTTTTTGCAAAATGCTCTGGAATAGGCAGTTTTAGTATAACTACACATTCTTTTATGTGGACTTTATAAGAAATTTGTTGTTTCAAAGCTCTGTATCTTGTTCATTTATCTATATCAACCTATTCTGTCTCCTCTGTTGATGACCTTATTGATGACTTTTTTTTAAGATTTATTTATTTTTATTACAAAGTCAGATATACAGAGAGGAGGAGAAACAGAGAGGAAAATCTTCCATCTGATGGTTCACTCCCCAAGTGAGCACAATAGCTGGAGCTGAGCCAATCCGAAACCAGGAGCCAGGAGCTTCTTCTGGGTTTCCTATGTGGTACAGGGTCCCAAGGCTGCTGTCCCTGGCCACAGGCAGGGAGCTAGATGGAAAGTGGAGCTGCCGGGATTAGAACCAGTGCCCATATGGGATCCCAGTGCATTCAAGGCAAGGATTTTTTAACCACTATGCTATTGCACCGGGCCCATTGATGACTTTTTACAGTTCTGCCATCTTGCTGCATGTGATGAAAGGCTATTAGAGTGCCCACATCCCGTATCAAAGTGCCAGTTTGAGTCCTAGCCACTCTACTTCTAATATAGCTTCCTACTAATGTGCTAAGGATGCAACACATGAGGGCCCAAATGCATGGACCCTTACTACCCATGTGGGAGACCAGGATGGAATCCCTGGCTCTTGGCTTCAGCCCTGGTTGTTGCAGCCATTTGAAGAATGAGCCAGTGGTTGGAAGATTTTCTCTCTCTCTCTCTCTCTCTCTCTTTATATACATATACATATATCTATATATATATATATATTCACACACACACACACACACACACTTTGTCCCTCTCTCCCCCATCACTTTACCCCTTAAAGTAGATGAAAGCAAATGAGTAAGCATTTTAAAAAACATTTTTAGAAATTTTTCTGTAAATGCAGAGTGTTCATCATAAAAATTTCAGGACAAAATAATGTTCCCAGGTAGTTTTTGATTTTTTTCCCTGATGGCTGATTTCATATTTCTGGATCTGATACTAAAGAGAAAGTACCAGGTGTTTCAGATGAGTCACTCAAAAGATACAGGATGGTGGTGCTGCTATCATTTTATACCTTCTATTCTTTACCAAGTACTTTTTGTTTGTTTCTTAGAATCTGTTAGTTTTTCTTGGGAAGCAAGATGAAGACATTGCCTTTCCCGCTATTTTTACATTAGAATTAGAGTAAATAAGCCTCTCATAATAACATACCAAAGGAGGAAAGCATAAAATGGCCACTTTGTTTGAATGTGGGTGTGTTTCCACATTGTGTATATTAGAGGGAAAAAAAGCTATTTCTTTGAATTTTAAACTTAGAATTTGTTTGTACCTAGCACTAGCTTGGCACTATTCCAGCCTTACCTCTGCTGGGAGTCACATGGTGTGCACACATGGGGAAACTGAGGCACCAAGTTTCACTCTCTTACTTGGTTCTTTGCTTTGCAACGAGAACTTCTGGTCCTAATGAAGCACAGCGCATGCCTGCTTGGTCAGTCACATGCACTAGCAGGGCTTCAGCAACCCTCACATCCCACTGATCACCTGCTTAGGAGGAAATGAACTGAATGCTGAAGGAAGAATTCTTGCCAGAGTTGGAGAGAAGTCAAGAGCAAAGCTGATTCCGTGGGAGTCAGCTTTTCATCTCTATCACATATACTGAGGGAAGCTGCTTATGAGGTTTATTTTAGGTCATGGTTGTCATGGTTTTGGAGGTTCACAGTCCAAGAATAGGTGGCTGCATTGATCTGACATCCTGTGAGGTCAGTGGTGGTGGGTACACAGGGAGGGTTACATGGCAAGCCATCAAGCAGAGGGAGACTGAGATCAGCATGGCTTTTATAACTATCCTTTTCTCAAGAACTACCTTGGTAGGGCACCCCAAGACCTCCCACTGGGTCACCTCCTGGATAGCATAGCTGGATCTAGTCTACACCCACAATCTATTATGAATTAACATCATGCCATTAGCTGTTAATGTAAGACTTTGGAGACCATGTTTTGATGCATGGGCATCTGTGGGACACCAGAACTAATATCCCCGCTATAGCAGGCTCTACATGCAGGTTGGAAGTCTCTCGCCCTTTGCATCTTAAATTATGACTTGTTGGTCTGATTGTTTCATAATATTTTGTAAATTTTTTTGAAGTTTTAAAAAAATTTATTCAGGGGCTTTACTCGAGTCTCCCATATAACTAGCAGAGACTGAACACGCAGGTCATCTTCTAGTGCTTTCCCAGGCATCTTAACAAGTAGTTTGATCAAAAGTGGAACGGTTGGTACTTGAACTGGTGCTCACGTGGGATGCTGGCATTAGAGAAGGTGGCTTAACCAGCTCTGGCACAATGCTGGCCCATGTATTTCTAAATAACAGGATAATGTACCTGTTTTGGTATCTGTGGATTATCTTTATAAGTAATACATCATACCCACAGATAATCTTTATCACTGAATTTGTGTTATCTCAACTCATTTAGGTATGGCATTACTAAATGGTTGAATTTTGTCTAGAAGGTTCAGTTTCCCGCCTCATTTTCATTTATATAATGACATCTCAGATTTCTTTTTAACACTCACATTTCATTTTATTCAAAGCTCCTCTTCCTCTCTGCCCTCCAACTGCCAAGAGCTAGCAGCTGACATTTGGAACAAACTAGATTAGCATTGATGACGATGCCCAGGTTTTTCTGTGGGGGATGTGTCATGGCTCCCATGGCACCAGCAGACTTACTCCAGAGATGTTGCAGTCTTTACATAGCCTACTCCAAGCTGGGAGCAGCACAGTCCATTGCTCTGATGTGCGGGATTCTGTGTCCTGTGGTATAATAGTGTGAGGCTATAGTCCCAATTTCACTGTCTGTAGCTCCTGTGAATTTGAGTCTTCTGAACTTTTGGGTATTCAGAACTTAAAAAGGAATAATTTAGACCACTTACAATGTAACTTTGTCCTTTGTTTCTCTTATTAAACCTGTTTTAAAAGAATGCCAGAGGCCCAGCACAATAGCTTAGTGGCTAAATCCTCGCCTTGTATTCTCCAGGATCCCATATGAGGCCAGTTTGTGTCCTAGCTGCTCCACTTTCCATCCAGCCCCCTGATAATGGCCTGAAAAAGCAGTAAAGAATGGCCCAAAGCCTTGAGACCCTGCATCCATGTCAGAGACCCGAAGAAGCTCCTGGCTCCTGATCAACTTAGCTACAGCCATTGTGGCCATTGGGGAGTAAATCAGTGAATGGAGGAAATTTGACTCTGTCTCTCCTTCTCTTTTTTTATTTCTAATAATTTTTATTTCCAACAGAAATAGAAATAAATCTTTAAAAATAAAAGAATGCCAGAACTCAAACCAGTACCTATGTGGGATGCCAATATCATATGTGGCGGCTTAACGCACTACACTACAATGCTAGCCTTTCTTTCTCTTTTTTTTTTTTTTTTTTAAGATTTGTTTATTTATTTGAAAGGCAGAGTTAGCAAGAGAAAGAAAGAGACAGCTTTTCTATGTGCTGGTTTACTCTTCAAATGACTGGAATAACTAGGGCTAGACTAGACCACGCTAGGAGTTGGAAGCTTCTCCCAGGTCTCCTGTTTGGGTGGCCGGTGCCAAACTACTTACACACTCCATTGCTCTCCCAGGTACCTTAACAGGGGGCTGGGTCAGAGGTGGAGCAGCCATGACTTACTTCTAAGATGCCCATAATAGCCAAGACCAGGATAAAGTTAGGAGCCAGGCACCCAACCCACGTCCCCCCTGTGGGTGACAGGAATCCTCCTATGTGAGTGTCACCTGCTGCCTCCCAGGGTGTGCATTTGTAGGAAGCTACAAGTAGCAGTCAGGATTTGAACCCAGGCCCTCAGATAGGTGAAGCAGCATCCCAAGCAGTATCTTCACCTCTGTGCAAAATACTTCAACCTGAAGACGACTTTGAAGTAAAATCCCGGGCCTGAGTTGTCAGTAGCAAATTATTAAAATGCCAATAAATGAAAAAAAAAGTAAAACAAAGTCATCATTTCAATGTTTTATCTTTACCTTTGGTCATAATTTTTTATAAATCAAACAGTATATAACTATACAAAAAGTTAAAGCTTGTAAGGTAGGAATGAAGTTGATATTCTTTAAGATAGAAACTGGATGGTTGTCAGCATTCAAACCTATTGCTACTGTTATTTTTAAGAGCCTATGTTGCTACTTCTTGCTGAAACTTATTTTTATCACTACCCTTTGCTGCCTCCCTTTAAGAAAATACGAATATTTGGGACCACAGTTACTAGGGGATTCATATTATAAATGTAGACAGAACAGACTTCTGTTTCTTTAGCCTTAGTAAACCAGCTCAATATTGCTTATGTTTTATTGTAAATATTACTAAAGATTATCATGTCAACTAGTTTCTAATATACCATGTCTAAAATACAGTGAAAAATTTCCAGTTTTATTTAAATGTGAGAGGACAGTAAATATATTAATTTAAAAATAATAAGCTAAAATTATTAAATTTTCTAAGAATATCAGTTAAAGACTAAACTGTTGTATTTACAGGTTTTTGAATAATCAGTTGTTATGCTATAAAGGAGTTTATCAAATATTTGGATATTTTCTCTATCTGGTATGCCCCAGATAGAATTTCTTTTTGAGGGGGTTAGACTGTCATGGTGCTACACCTGTTTCTCACACACCCTTTTCTCTTCCTTCTTACACAAAATATTATGTTGACTCCTAAAGCAGCTTGTTTGTCTTCAACCTTTAGAGAGTGAGGCCGTGGAGCCGGGTACAGAGAGCCAGCAGCAGGAAGATCCCCCAGAGAGCGGCGGCTGCGGTGATCCCCTGGCGGAGCAGGCAGTCACCGCAGCGAAGGACCACAGGGAGGAGCTGCTTGGCAGCGCAGGAGCCAAGCTGGAGCTCCACGCCCAGTCCGCGGAGACAGCCCGAAGCAGAACTGGGCCAGACGCTGCCGAGAATGCCTGTGTGGATAACAGCCATCTGCAGCTGGCTCAGGCCGACCACTGCCCAGATGTGGCCACGGCAGGGGGTGTTGCTGAAGACCCTAAGGTTTCACCTCCCGGAGACCCAGCCACGGAGCCGCTCACGGTACCAGGCTGTGACTCTGTCCCTGCTGCGTTGACTTCTGAGAGTAAATATTCGCAGACTAGGAGGAAAGAACTCCGTCTACCACTTCAGAGTGTGTTGCCCACAGGCCAACCTGAGAACAATGAATTAAATGAACTGCAGCAACCTGATCTCACTGACAGTGATGGGAAGTCGCTGCGGGGTCACGGTGACTCGCAGGGTTCTGGGAATGCACTTTGTGAAAAGAATGACTTATCTGACTTAAGTCCACCACTGCTGCCTCGGGCGCGTATGGCCCCAGAGGAAAAGGGAGAGCAGGAAGACCCAGTCGCTAAGGAAACCGAAGACTATTTGAACAGCCTTCTGGAAGGGTGCTTACCAGACCCTGAGGAGGATTCCCTTTGGTGTGAAGACAGCCAGGAGGAGGACTCGGAGCTGCTTCAGGACCTTTCTCCTGAGGAAGACTCCTACAGTCTCCAGGAGAATCTGCCTGATGACAACTGTCTTTCTCTTGATGATCTTGCCAAGAGGATAGAAATTGCCGAGGTAAATTAAAGATGAAGTACAATTAAACATAAAAGGCACTTTTCGAAGCTAGAATTTATGCAGAATATTGCCTGATTTTATGATCATTTTAGTCAACATATACTGGTAATCATTAGTACTTATAGTTGTTTATATGTATGGAATAAAATGACTCAATTGTGATAATGTTTATACTTTAAGGAGTTGCAGTGCATGCTAGCAGATACATTAAGCTGTATTATCAATACCAATTTTTAATAGTCCTGTGATTATTTTTTAAACTTGATTTTGCTACAAATTAGGATCAAGAGTACTAATGTTGTATTAAGGAAATCATGTTTTCATGTCATATGTCTAGGAGACAAAATACATGTAATATATACCCACCTTTTCTCCCTTGTGCTGATGTGTTTTTAAGCTTCAATAATGGAATGGAGGAAACCTTTTAAAATGTAATGAGAGGGCACTAGATTAATTCTTAAGCACAAAATCTAAAACAAGGTCCCAGAAAGATGGCCCTTGTCCTTTGTGTGGTGACATAATAAAACAGTTGACCAAAAGAAAACATAAATGCTACATCAGAGCTATGACACCCTCCTCAAGGTGGCCTGTCATGGTAGGAAACACAGTCAGGTGCCTGACTTGAGCCCCGATACCAGCTGCATGGCTCAGCTGCCACCCTCGGGAGCTGCTTTTTGCCACTCTGTGCTATTGTCTTTACAAGTATTTCTTCTCCTTAATTTTATTTTTAGGTTCTATTTATACCCATCATATTGTAACTTGGCATTATCAGTGAAACAAATTAGTTTCAGAGGGAAAACAGAAAAATAAACCAAAAGTAGCCAAGAAATTATATCTGAAAATAGAACCCAATGAACAAGTTTCTAGCATCATTAAACTTATTTCAGTAGCTTCCTTTATTGCTATTTATAATGAGTTCTCTAAAACTATGATCTACTGTTGTCTTTATTTTTAACAAAACGACTTGATTGCCATGTATAGTTCATTCTCCATAAATTGTGATTTTGTTTAATTTGTTTTAAATAAAATTTAATATTTCTTAATGAATTTCCATTGGGGTTGATGAAAATTTTCAGAAATACTAGATAGTAGCCATTATTGCACATTAATAATGCAGTTAATACAACAAAATTATATATTCTTAAAAACGATTAATGTAATTTTGCATTGCATATTTTGTCACAGATTTTTAAAAATATTTTTAAAAATAGAGCTAACTATAAAGCCCTTAGCCCAGAAGTATTTAAGTTTTTACTTATTTTAACTAGAACCCTGGGACAGGGAGTTCCAAACTGTTGAATTAACATTGCAACTAAATGGAGAATTCCTCTCTTAAGCTCATTAAGTTTTCCTACTAGGTAATACTAGCAGTGGAAATTATAGGTTATTTAAAGTTAGCCTTTCTGTGAAATTAGTGTATTTTGTCCCTTTCCCTGGAATTTTCTTGGTCTACTAAATCAGGTAGTTTAATCCCAAAAGCTACACATAGTTAGCAAAACTAATTTACCTTCCTATGATAATCCTAAATGCTATTCCTTTCTTAAAACTTAATGTCTTTAAAAGAAATTTTTATTTTATTTTTTTATTTGAAAGCCTGGGAGAAGGAGAGCCAAAGAGAAAGATTTTCCATCCACTGGTTCACTACCCAAGTGGCCTCTTTGACCCAAGCTGAGCTGATCTGAAGCCAGGAGCCTCTTCTTGGCCTCCCACATGGGTGCAGGGTCCCTGAGCTTTGGGCCATCCTCTACTGGTTTCTCAGGCCACAAGCAGGGAACTGGATGGCAAGGCAAAGATTTTAGCTGCTAGGCTATGGCACTGGGGCCAGGTATGTACTTTTTTTTTTTTTTTTAAAGATTTATTTTTATTATTTTTTCATTGGAAAGGCGGATATACAGAGAGGAGAGACAGAGAGGAAGATCTTCCGTCCGATGATTCACTCCCCAAGTGAGCGCAACGGGCCGATACTATGCCGATCCGAAGCCAGGAGCCTCTTCCGGGTCTCCCACACGGGTGCAGGTTCCCAAAGGTTTGGGCCGTCCTCGACTGCTTTCCCAGGCCACAGGCAGGGAGCTGGAAGGGAAGCGGGGCTGCCGGGATTAGAACCGGCGCCCATATGGGATCCCGGGCGTGCTAGGCGAGGACTTAACCACTTGCGCCACCGCTCCGGGCCCAGGTATGTATTTTTTCAAAGGACCTAAGTATTGGGCCCAGCACCATAGTCTAGTGGCTAAATCCTTGCCTTGCATCTGCTATGATCCCATATTGGTGCCAGGATGGCCCAAAGCCTTGGGACCCTGTACCCTCATGGAAGACCTGAAAGAGGCTCCTGGCTTTGGATTGGTGCAGCTGTGGCTGTTGCAGCCACTTAGGGAGTGAACTAGAGGACAGAAGATAGTCTTCTCTGCCTCTCCTCCTCTCTGTATATCTAACTTTACAATAATGAATGAGTGAATGAATGAATGAATGAATGAAAGGGAAGGGAAGGAAAGGAGAAAAAGAGAAAGAAAAAAGGGGGAAAGAGAAAACCTAGGGAAATAGTTTTGAAAGTTTCAGAACTATAAGTTTGCTTGCAAGTACAAACTCATGCTTTAAGAAAAGGGGGGGGGTGCTCTAAAACCTGTGTGTGTGTGTGTGTGTGTGTGTGTGTGTGTGTGTGTGTGTGTATGTGTATGAGAGAGAGAGAGAGAGTGAGAGAGAGAGAGAGAGAGAGAGAATCAAAGTTCTTGATCTGCTTTGCTCTACATGTCTTCATTGGGAGTGGAGGGGTCTCCCCTGTGGGCCAAGGTGCAGGGCAGGGCCTGTTGGAGGTTCTCTCACGTTCACACTGGGCCATTTGGACTGGAACCGATTGTGAAATATTTTTTCTCTGTAAGCCAGGGACACTGAACACAGTCTCATATTAAGAGATAGTATTTATGAGTAGCATTTTTCATTTCCACAGGAACCACTGAGGCATGTAAACCTGCTGGCTTCCCCATTGTTATGCTACCTCTTCCTGTGGCTTCTCCCCATCAGGACCCTGCCCCTTCCTAGCTGGTGTAACTGCACCACTGTTTGTTACACAACATGTTAGGATGTTCTTTCTTTGCCAGGTCTGCCCCCCCCCGCCACCCCCCGCCACCCCACCTCGATACACACACTTTTTTTTGCGAGGGGGGGAGGGGATCTCTCTGCTTTTATTTGTTTACCATTTCTGTAGTGCTCAGCTTTCTCTGTGGTGGAATTTTCTTTTGACAACCATTGCCTGCCCATCCAAACCACTTGTTCCCTTGAGTTGCTTTAAAGAGTTGGATTTATTATGCAAAATGAAATAATTTTCACAGAAGTCTTATAGAAAACTGAAAATCTGTGTACTATTTTAAATAGGGAGACATGTATAAATGAAGTTTCTCTTGGTTTGGAAGTGTTTTTCAAACTCAGGAATGTTTTTTGCAAAATGGTAGTATGTGAAGCTTTGCTTTGTCTTGTATAAAAAAGATCGTAATACAGTATCATCAGAGGTATAGGCTCATCTGTTAAAAACATTTGTCCTCATATCTTTTTTTAATGCTTATTTTTAAAATTTATCATACAATTCTGTATAGTCTGGGATTCCTCTCCCCCTAATTTCCACCCCCCGATTGATTTTTCCCATAATGTCACAACTCTTCATAAGGAATTACAGTTCCATCAGTCTGCTGTTTAAGTGTGCTCCAACATTGCTGGTGCAGACAATATCGGACAGTCCATCATCCCATTGTCTAGATATATCTGACACTTTCATTAGGAGTTCATCTTTTGTTTGGAAGCAGAGATGCATGTTGCATTGTGTCTTCACATCTGGATATGGTAGCATATCCATTGGATATGCTACCATATCCATTTCTCCATCACCATATATTTCAATTTGCTTGATGGATTCCTTATATTAGATAGAACATATGGTATTTCTCTTTTTGTGATTGACTTATTTCACTGAGCATAATGGTCTAGTTAGGACCATGTGGTTGCAAATGGTATGATCTCATTCTTTTTAATGGCTGAATAATATTCCATAGAGTAGATGTAGCACAGTTACTTTAGCCACTCCTCTCTGGATGCGTATCTGGAATGTTTCCATGTCTTTGCTATTATAGATTGTGCTGCTATAAATATGGGACTACAGATCCCCTTCTCATATGTAGTTTTAATTTATTTTGGGAATATTCCTAGGAATGGGATAGCTGGGTCATTTGCTGTTTTGGTGGTTTTTTGGTTTTTTTTTGGGGGGGGAGGGTTTGGTGAAAGTGACTTCTGTGTGAGTGTCATGGTATAGATACAATAATTAAAAATACAGGTGCAGACACTACGATACAGCCTGAAACCTAACAATTGCCTATTTCAAGTGCATCAACCTTTTCCTAAATTTGAATACCCAAGTTTTTGACAGAGGGTGAAATTTGATTGAAATACTCAAATACCCAGAATATATTGGTGAGATTATTTCATTGTCAGAACCCAAAGCCTGTTTCTCTGGGAAACTGGTCAGGTAAATAATTCTTTGATTGATTTGGTTTGGGAATCTTCTGTAGGAGTCACATTCAGCTGTTCCATCTTACAGATGAGTGCTTACAGGGAATTCCTAGCATCTGAACTTAAGAATCGTGAGCCACTGACCCAACCCCATACTGCTAGTAGGAGGGCATTCAGCTGATAGGGGGCTGTTACCATATATAGGGGTGAACAGATTGTCTTGTTTTCCAAATAAATGGTACTCAAATTGAGTCTTGGTTATATTTTACAAAAATTTATCTTTTTAAACAAAAATGCCCATGCTTGTCTATTTTGTTTAATTATTTGAGAGAGAGAAGGAATGTCAGACGTACAGAGAGCAAGAGAGCGCCGCACCCATCACTGCCTGCAGAAAATCCCTCTGTGCTGCCCTCCTGTGTGCACATCTGCCGGATCATATTCTCTCCCACTTTGCCTTTCAAATAAATAACATTTAAAACAAAGCTTTTTTAAAGTGCTATTTTTAAAAGTCAGCATCAGTGTACTTCATCCAACTTTTTTATTTTTTACAAATTTGCACTCTGTTCACAATTCACATTCTAACATTCCAGTGTTGAGGGCTCTGGATGACCATCATATTCTTTCTGAAAGATGTCTTTTCTTCATAAAGCTGGTACCTTGTTCCAGCTGTGAATTATTCTGTCATTTTGTTACAGTAGTAGCCATTAATCTCATTCCACAAAAACGTTTGCCAAACCACCTCTTTCCCCAGACCTGACTAGTTGGACAAATTTATTCATCACACTGTGTCTTGTTTGAGGTCATGTGTAAGTTAGAGATTTCTGCTAAAGGTATAAACTACTTTAGAAAGACAAAAATGAAAAAAAGTTTGCCTTATTTAAAAGTTCTGTTCATTTTTTAATTGTAACAATCAACCTATCACAGAAAGCAGACTTTAATCGTCATACCAAAAAAGATCATTGTGTTACAGAAATGGCAAGAGATTTTAATCTTTTTTTAAAGATCTATTTTATTTTTATTTGAAAGGCAGACTCAGGGCTCCACTTCTGGTCTAGCTCCTTGCTGATGTACCTGGGAAGGCAGAGAAAGATTGGACCCTGGTGTCCACGTGAAAAACCTGGAGGAGGCTCTGGGCTCCTGGTTTGGACTGGTCTGGTTCTAGCTGTTGTAGTCATTTACGGAGTAAACCAGGGGTGGAAGATCTCTTTCTCCCTGTTTCCCTCTCTCTGTAAATCTGCTTTCCAAAAAAAATTATTTAAAAAACAATTCTTTTAAAACTGACAGACTGACATTATGATTTTATAAAAAGCAGAGGGATGTCTTATAAAAATAGTTTGGAGGAGTTAACAAGCTATGTGCCATAAATCAGCTGCCCCTGTTGTAGAATTGCTTGGCAGCCTTCTGAGACTACGCACCAAGGCCGTGACCTTTGCGGGTGGTGGTGGTTACTTGTGCTTCAGCCATGAAGTTAAGGCAAACGTTATCACAGATGCTTCTTAAGATCATTAGTTTTGTCCTGTAATGATGAGAATTCTACATTAGGAGGAGATTAAAGAGCTCTACCCAAAACTCTTGCCAAATGAGAAAGGACAGATTCTACTGCCCAAGCTACCTGTCCTCTAACAGTTTCCACCTTGGCCCGCATCTCCAGTACCTAAGCTTGGCGCCACCATTCCTTGATCTGTAGACAGAGGGCAGTTCAAACAGAAAAACCTAAAACAGATGCCTAAGCAAGACTAAAAGGCAGTAGTGGACAAGTGCACACTCCTTTACTTCAAGCATGCCCCACTGAAACAGAAGGCTTTCAGTGGAAGAGGAAAAGATTTTCAGATTTTCAGCCAGTGATCAAAAGACAGAGGAAAACCATCAAAATCAGTGTTGACTCATCTCATGCAATTGTCCTTTCTCATACTGTGCTTCTTCCCTTTTTGAAAATGTTGCCAAAGTTGATTTACCACTCATAATAGTAAAGGTGAGGCTGCTTGGTAACGCCTGTAACCCATAGCAGCAAACACCTCAGATTAAGCCGACACGAAGCCTGCTGCACTGAGACCAGCGCCTGGTCTGACTGGGACACCCTGCCTTTCCCTGTAACTTCAGGAGCCTCTCAGTCTGTCAATAGCCATTTTGTTGTACTTGCAAAGCCATACTTGGAAAGTTTGTTTTCTGCCTCTTGAATTTACAGTTTCAATATACAAATCTCAAAGATAGGCCAGACAGTCATGCCACTCTGAGGCGCCCCCTTAAGATTGTTACTCATAGGATTGTGTCTTGTTCCTAAGTTAAAACAACATCTTAAAAATTCCACGGTAGATGAATTATCTACTGGTGAATTTATGACTTTATTGTTTGGAGAAAATTATAAAAGGATCTGAGTTCAAAAAGGCTCTCCTTGACGTGTTAAGTAATGTTGTAGCTCTCTAAAGATTGGAGAGTTGCTTCCTTTGTGTGTGTGTACTCACCATTTTGACTAAAGTCCTTTTGTCTTTGAACTAGGATAATTGAAATGTATATATTTCCTAGAGAAAGAATAAATGACTGGTTTATTGATTTTTTTTTGAGCTAATGGTTTTTGTAGACACACACCCAGAAAAGCCCAGTTCTTAGGCTATTTGGCCCTAAAAGCCCAGAGTTATAAAAAGGACTAATAGGATCTGTCGTACTTAACGTACAGCACATTATCAGGTTGCTGACTGGAACTGGAAATCATTAAAGATTTTCTGCTATTGATCACATAAATGAAATTACAGGCAGTCTCCAGCTTGCAGTGATGAGATACCAGCAGGTCAGTGACCTCTGCAGTGTTAGGCCCACAATGCCCACCTGTGTCATCACCTCCAACTGATAGCAAACAGGCAACTCACAAGTTTTTTCTGTGAATGAGCCTCCTGCACACCAGCTAAGCTCTTCCAGCAGATCCTCTTCTCCACTCTGCACGTTGGAGACTAAATGGCAAGGGGTTTGGAGTGGGTTTTTGAGGAGGGGTATTAAATAAGGGGTAGGATATAAACCTAGATAAGAATATGGACCAGATGAAAATTAGAAGACAATATAGAAAGGGGCAACAGTGGGGGACTGAGGAGGTGTTACCCAGCAAACCTGTTCTTTATAGAGTCAAACTGTAAATATTTTAAGCTTTATGTCTACTAATTTATGCCATTCTAGCCATCAAAGAGCCATACACAGTTATAGATGAAAATGGGCCAGACCTTGTTCAGTTAAATTTGGTTTACAAAAATTGGCATTGGCCTTTGGCCCTGGTTTGCCAGCCTCTGCATGTTTCAGAGAAAGGTGTTCTAGTAACCAGGTTCTGAGAGAAACTCTGAAAGTGCAGTTTTAAAATATTTCAAGCAGTAGAACACATTTGTTATTTCTGTAAAAGTGCTGGTAAGTGAAGACAGTGGTGGAGTGTAAACCTCCGTTAACCTAGCAAGACCCAGAGCCAACTGATTAAGAATGGCGATAAGTGATCATTTTACAAATAACAGGAAAATTTCTTGATTTCTAGGTTTTTGCACACTATACTTGTATCCAACCCTGAAGTCAGTTCAGGGGTAAGGAAAGCAGTCAGGACATTCATGGCTGTGTGTGTGTCACTATCTGTACAAAGAAAGGTTGTTGTTTTTTTGGGTTTTTTGTGTTTTTTTTTTTTTTTGTCAGATTTTGATGATTATTTTCTTTCTGTTGGAATTGAATATGCCCATACTAAAAAAGTCAGATATCTGTGGATTAGCCCTTAGACATTGCCTGTGAAAGAGTGGTGTGTCCCCTTGAACATGACTCATGGCCCTTGTCCTCTCTTGCAGGTTGTTCCTGCTGAAGGACTGGTCTCTATCCTAAAGAAGAGGAATGATACTGTAGGAGATCATTCTGCCCAGATGCAACAGAAACCGTCGAAGCGAAAAGTAAGATTTCAAGAAATAGACGACAGCTTGGATCCAGGTAAGCTGCTCCATCGTGTCTAGCAGAGCACAGGGTCAGTGTTTGCCACAGAATGAAGTAGTATGTGCTGGGATGTCTGCTCACAGATTTTGTGAAAGATGCTGAAACTCAGTTGCCTCATCTTCTAGCAGAGAAACATACACAAACTGTTAGCTTAAATTATCCCTAAGCAGTTAGTTTGCCCTAATAAGTGAGCAGATTGCAACGTTGACTCAGTCCCTTGTTGTGTAGATTAATCTTCAGTATTGAGAAGCCTTTTGTTGTTGTTCAGCTGAATCTGGTATTTTTGTCTTCTTTTCAGCAGCCAATTAGTATTTCTCCTTCATTGTGGAAAATGAATTATAAGTGTGTACTCTTCAGTGACTTCTTCGTGCTGTAGAGAACTGTCTTTCAGGAGCAGCAGTTGAGCCCAGTTGCTGCTGTTTGACTTCTCTCCTAGGCCTGCCCTTAAGGAACTTTCTGTTGCAAACACGATTGCCCTTTTGTGGTTGCAAATCAGTTTACCTTAGACCAGAGTAAACGAGGGAAAGTGGAAACGTGGCCTGCTGAGAACGCTCAGAGTACTTGTCCTGTTTGTAATCAGCTACAATGTTAAAATAATCGCACACAATTTTAAGCATGCTTCCCAAGTGTGTCCCAGGAAAGTGCACTAGAGCTTTCTGAGTACTTACAGTTTCAAAGCTGTTGGGCTTTGGAAGTTTTCTGTTTCTATGCTCTCCTTCTGCCTCTGCAGCCTGCCGTGGGCCAAACTAGTAAACCTGTAAGAGACTCAGTTTTGTCATCTTGAGAGTGACATCTGCTCTCTGCTCCTATGGGAACAAAGAAAAACAAATCTAATTGTGTGCATAAATTAACTTCAAGAGAGAACTTCATGCAATGATTGGTGGTTGGTAATTTTTAATTCTTAAATTCTGTGGCTCACTTTCTGACAAAACCTTTAACAAGGGCCAGTTCTCGCTGTAAATCACTGTTATGAACTAGAAATATGAGACACAAATATTATTATCTTTTTTGCTGACTTTATGCCAGGTAATAGTGATTTAACTGTGGGTAAAAACATACAGTTTTGTCTTTATGGAGTTCACTGACTTCCTGGGTGATAAAGGTTTTAAAATTTTTCTAAATCAGGGGCCCAGCACAATGACCTAGCAGCTAGAGTCCTCGCCTTGAACACACTGGGATCCGATATGAGTGCCATTTCTAATCCCAGCAGCCCCACTTCCCATCCGGCTCTCTGCTTGTGGCCTGGGAAAACAGTCAAGGATGGCTCACAGCCTTGGTACCCTGCACCCACATGGGAGACCCGGAAGAAGCTCCTGGCTCCTGGCTTTAGATTGGTTCAGCTCCAGCCATTGCGGCCATTGGGGAGTGAATGATTGGACTGACGATCTTCCTCTCTGCTTCTCCTCCTCTGTGTATATCTGACTTTGTAATAAAAATAAAATAAATCTTTTAAAATTTTTTTTAAAAACCACACAAATTTGTGGAAATTATTTTAAGATTTGTTAACTTTATTAGAAAGTCACATTTATAGAGAGAAGGATAGACAAGGAGAAAGATCTTCCATCCACTAGTTAACTCCCCAAGTGGCCGCAATGGCTGGAGCTGATCCAAAGCCTGAATCCAGGAACTTCTAGGTTTCCTGTTTGGGTGCAGGGATCCAAGGCTTTGGACCATCCTGTACTGTTTTCCTAGGTCATAAGCAGGGAACTGGAAGGGAAGTGGGGCATCCCCAACATGAACTGGTGTCCATATGGGATCCTGGTGGATGCAAAGCAAGGATTGAGTCCGTGGGCAATTGGACCAGGCCCATGGAATAGTTAAAAAAAAAATGTATCTTTTTCCTGTCTCCATTTGACTTAAAGACACACACACACACACACACACACACACACACACACACACACACACACACACACACAAACACACACACATTGGGTTTGTATATCCCAGTTGGCCTGAGACGGTCCTGGTTTTACACTGTTGTCCAGTATTGCATTCAGATGACATTTCTTTTCACTTTCAAAGGTGTCTAATCTGGAGGATGCATTAAATTTATTTTTAAATGTTTTTTAGTTTTTATATTTGAGAGAGCTCCCATCTGCAAATTCACTGCCCGTATGCCCAGAACAACCCCTGCCAGGCTGAAGCCAGGAGCCAATCCAGATCTCCCATTTAAGTGGCAGGACCAAATTCCTAGAGCCATCACCCCTGCCTCCCTGGTTCTCAGTAGAGTAGGATGCTAGAGCCAGAAGCCAGGGCCAGGGAGCAAACCAGATATTGCCATGCTTATTAGTCTTTTGAAATATTTTTTCTTTGATAGTTTAAGGTTTTTCTACCAAAGAATAGTTATTTCCTTTAATTTAGAAAGATTGATGTGTACATTTTCATTAAAGATAAACCTGCCAGAGTTGTTAAGCAAAAGAAAAGGGAATCACTGCTCTAACTAGAATTTCACCGTTCAGCTAAATGAGGAACGAAGATGTTACTAAGATGCCAAAGAAATTCTACCCAAAGACATTTTTATTGTTTAGCATGGCATTGGCTTTCCTTTAATGTGATCCCGTAATGTGAATTCCAAAGACAGTGTAATACAAGGCTGGAATGTGCATTTAACCCTTTGCCTGTGTCAGAGGTTAGATATGGCCCTGTTTCCCTTGTTTTTGTTTGTTTGTTTGTTTAATGGAAGATGATTCTATTCATTTTCTATTCATTCTATTCATGAGCAAGTTGTAGTTTTCTTTTTCTTTTTTTCCTAAAGATTTATTTACTTAAGACATATGCTGATTCACTCCCCAAATGGCCACAATAATCAGGACTGGGCCAAGCTGAAGCCAGGAGCCTGGATCTGCATCCAGGTGTCCCACATGGGTTCAGGGGCTCAGGCATTTGGGTCATCTTCTGCTGCCTCCCCAGATGCATTAGCAGGGAGCTAGACTGGAAGTAAAACAGCTAGAACTTCCATCAGCTTTCGCATGGGATGGCAGTAGCACAGTGTGCAGCTCAACCTGTTATGCCACAATTCCAACTCCACTGAGTTGTTTTTGTAATGTTAGAATTCACAAGAATGAGTCTTAGTGGTAGTAAAGAGGTAGACATTCTGACACTCAGATTTTGTAAGTCCTGTCCCTAGAGGACTAACATTAGAAGACTGCAAGCAGGCTAAAATTTCCATATGATGACAATTTAACCTCTGTTTTTCTGTTTGCAGATGAAGTTGGAAATGGCTCATGTATTTTACTCATCTTGCTGTGCATAGCAACGGTTTTCCTGAGTGTTGGAGGGACTGCATTGTATTGCACTTTTGGTGACGTGGAGTCACCTGTTTGTACAGACTTTGCAGACAACGTGGACTTCTATTACACCAAGTTACTGCAGGGAATGGCAGAACTTAAACACTGGATCTACCTCTCCTAGCACCATTCAAGAGGGACAAGCATGCTGGCAGTGAGAATGAAAGATGTGAACCTCTGTAAATCTCTTTTTTTTATTTCAGGAGTTCTGTAGCCTCCTCCCCCAAACCCCAGGGAGGAACCAGGGGCGACTCTGAATGGCCCTCCAGATGAGCCGTGCTAGAATAGAATCATCCCTGTAATGAGGCAGGGGGGAATCTAAGCCCTGCAGATGGAAGGGAAGATCCCTAGGACACTGGCCCCTGCTGTTCCTCTCCGCCCCTCAGGTAGTGATGTACACTGAGCAGAGCTGGCCAGGGCAGCCCTGGAACCACACACTGTTTTTAGCTGTCATGTGAAGCTCATGGTTAAAGGATACTTTTGGTTTACATATGTTGGTCCATAGCCATTGCTTCCAAGCATCATGCAATATTGACCCCCAACCCCCGCTTTTTTTTTTTTTTTAAGTTAACCTTGGGAGCCATGTAATACAGGCTTTTTTTGGCCATTATTTTCAGATCCTGTTTTTCCAGTTTGTGAAACTGAGTGTGTATGTTTCAGTCAGTTATCATAAGCAAATAACAAACAGAAATTATCTTTATTCTTTTATTTTTACTATGATGTGCAGGCACAAATCTGTGAAGAAGGCTTAACATGGACTAGATGAACTGTAAAAATCTTGGCCCTGAAGTGAGCAACTGTGACAGATATGTGGCAGTTATCATGATTAAGTATATAGAAATTAATCACAGGCAAAAAGGCAACATTGAAGAGCTCCCCCGGAGTGTCAGTGCTTGGTCATGAACTCAGTACCTCCTCAAATGATGTGTGCTGGACTGGACTCAGCAAACACTCCCTGGGCACCTGTTACACTTTGAGAATCTCTAAGACCCAGAATACAAATAAGATGTAATTCCTGCTATAGATGTTTTAATTCTGGTCATATGTAAAATAAATCAGTAGTTTGGCAAATGAAATTAATTCACCATATGTAAATCAGTATTAGCAGATCACGCATTCAAGTGTTGCAACGTACCTTCAATATCACAGGCTTGATTTTAGACTTTGCTGTGTGGTCATTTGATGAAAATTCAATCATAACCTGAATAGGCAGGTATCATTTTTCTGTAGATCTGTCAGTTCGGTGGCCTTTCCTTATTTCACATACAGTGGTCTCCCATTGAAGAAGCCTGGCTTTGACTTTTTATATCCTAGGCAGCATTTTAAAACGAACATGAATTATAGTTTTTTAGCCAAGTGATCATTATTTTCTGTTTTTCTTTTAGGATTATTATAAAGAAAAAGGGAAGAAATTACTTTCTAGTTGTTACTGGCTGGTACAGTACCTCCCTTGATGATTTTGCTTATTTATTTAGACTGTATGAATTCTAGAAGGGCTTTTCCCATCTGTGGGGAGCGTGCTGCAGAGCATGCGTGTGGTTCATCCCTGTGTCAGCTGTTTAATTACTGTGTACTTAGTGTTTGGATTTTCTCTCTTTCAGATTGATGCATTTTTAGGCTTGTTTATTTTGAAATGGGTGTCTCACTTTTCACTTACAATGCTGTTTGATTTGTCTTTCATGTCACCATAAACTGTAATATTTTCAAGGATTATAGATCAAAGATATTTATTTAGAGGTGTACAAGATGCTGAAATTTAGATTCCTTATACTTAAGGCCGACTTTATTAGAAGATTATTTTAATGTTCGATTATGAATTTTAAGAATTTGTATTGTAATTGTATGTTAAGTATGTAAAGCGTCAACGGTTCCCTCTTTGTGGCTCTGTAAAGGCCTTCCACAAAGCCTGCTGTAGTGGGGGCAGCCTCGCTGGTCAGCCTCTCCCACTTTGCCCTCGTACTGTCTAGTTACTGATGTTTGGGGATGCTGATTTCTGCCAGTCTAATGTCGAGATACATACCCTCTGATTCACTTCTCTCAGGTTCCCCTCGGAGTCCTGTGGATAAGGTGGTCAATTTTTCCTATGGCTCACTGGGGCCACTTTGGAAACCCAAGTTCTCCCCAGGAACCTGCAGACCAAAATGAAAGAATGAAGGTAATTCCATGACAGTCTTAGAGACCCATGTGGGTGAGCTCACCACACTGTGAGGGTTGGGGAGGCAAGCGCAGGGGTATCCTGCTGTCTTGACTTAAAACAGGCATGAAGTCTCAACTAGAAAAATTAAGACAGTTTTTGAAAATTGTAATAGTCACTTACTGCATGAGTTGGAGTAATTACACCTGATGATGAAAAGATTGTTCTCTGACACATAAGACAATTCATCCAGCTTCACTGAAATGTAATGTTTCCCATCATTGGAAAAAGCAAGTATTTGTTGTAACTAATCTTCCCTAAGAACTGTACTGAGGGTATCAAATCGAGCTTGTGATTTAAAACCTACACCAACAAAATGTGTCGAAGAGTTTATTTGAAACCCCACAGGTGCTGAGAAAAACTACTTTAAGATGAAAGCACAGTGTCTGAAGTTGCTTTGGTCCCAACCAGAGAGAGCCATCTTTTTGGGGAGGTCTACAGAAAGTCTACATAAAGGCTCCATTACTAAGCTATCTCCCCCATCCATCTGACATAGGAGCTGAAAATCACCCTCAATCCTTTAGATTGCAAAAGTCAAAACCATCCCAGAGATTTGCTTGGTTTTGAGTTGCGTACTAGATGTGGAAAGATTGAGATTTGAAGGTGAGTCTTTGAGAGGCAGATGCAAGCTGGATCTTACTGGACTTGTGGGAGGTTGTGGCCTGAGAGGGGCAGGGAAGGAGAGTGGGCTGGGAGTTGAGGAGAGAAAGAGAAAGGAAGGAAAAAAGCCAAGACATCTCTTAACTATCTTATCATGTTGCTCTGTTGTCAGGAGTAAGAGTGGTTCCAGGATTTGGGGCACACATTATAGTGTAGGCAGCTAAGTTAGCAACCTCAAAAGGAAACATTGATTGAGCTTCAATACTGACCCTCCGAAGTCTACAGTGAGTTAAAATTTCCTGGCACTGTTGAAATCTTCCTGAGTTTAGGGACAGAGAAATTATGTGTGTCCTATAGGCATTTTTTCTCCTTGGTAGAAGACTCACTCTCTGTGAAAGGCAAAGTTAGAGAGAAAGAGATCTTCTATCTGCTGTTTCACACCCAAAATGGGTGCCATGGCTGGAGCTGAGCGACCCATCCCAGGAGTCAGGAGCGTCTTCTGAGCTTCCCATGTGATTACAGGGCCTCAAAGCATTTGGGTCATCTTCTGCTGAACCAGTGGCACCGATGTGGGATGCCAGCCACATAGATACCACTGTGCTAGTCTCTAGGAGTTGCTCTTAAATTTGACCTTTGTCTACTACCCTGAGTTGACTGCAGTACAGTAAACAATAGCAGGCTTGTTGTTGTCTGTATCTTGAGAAATATTTAAATGCCTGCAGCATGCTTAGCCACCGCCCGCAGGGTGCTAGGCCATCGGAAACAGGAAATGATCCAAAAAGAATTGGCTTCTGGTGAAGGAAATAAATTTGTGAAGAGAGAATTTCAAAAAAGAAACCAGGTATTGTGCTACTCAGGGGAGATGTAGCTTGAATTTATTCTTTCCTAGCATGCCAAGCCCTAGCAACTTGATTGAAATCTTGACAAGTACCTTTGCTCACAGCCAAAGATTTTATAATGATTATCCAGTAATGACCACTTTTCAATTTTGGTTAACACCTGTGCTGGTAATAGGCCTAAGATTTTATAACGGTGGAAAATTTCTCTGAAAAACCTTCCAAACTGAAAATTTGAATGAAAGGGCAGGCATTTGGCAGATGGTTGAGATGCCACTGCAGGTGCCTGCATCTCAAGATTGAAGGTCCTAAGTCGGGGCTGCTCTGCTTGCATTCTAGCTTCCTGCTAATGTGTGTGCTGGGAGTTAGCAGATGGTGGCTCCAGTCCTTGGGTTCCTGTCACTGGTGCTGAAAGCAGCCCCAGCTCATGGGACCAGCCTAAGCTCATGGGACCGTTTGGGAAGTAAATAAGCAGATTGGAGTTCTGTTCCTTTCAAGTAAAGTGAAAATAAATTTGCAAAATATTTTGAAGTCTAAACTGAAATTCTTCCTCATCTAACAAAGAAAATTTCAGTCCCAAATGGTTTCATTCTGTAAATTATGTAAGTAAGAAATAATGCTCATCTTACAAGATAGTCTTTTTTTAATTTTAAAGATTTATTTATTTTTATTGGAAAGGCAGATATACAGAGAGGAGAGACAGAGAGGAAGATCTTCTGTCCAATGATTTCCTCCCCAAGTGACTACAATGACCAGTGCTGCGCCGATCCAAAGCCAAGAGCCAGGAACCTCCTCCAGGTCCCCCACTTGGGTGCAGGGTCCCAAGGGCTTGGGCCATCTTCAACTTCCTTCCCAGGCCACAAGCAAGGAGTTGGATGGGAAGTGGAACTGCCGGGATTAGAACCAGTGCCCATGAGGGACTCCAGCGTGTTCAAGGCGAGGACTTTAGCTGCTTGCTAGGCCACCATGCTGGGCCCACAAAATAGTCTTTTTTTAAAAAAAGATTTATTATATTTGAAAGGCAGACCTACAGAGACAGAAGGTGAGGCAGATCTTCTACCTGCTGGTTCACTCCCCAAATGACCAGGACGGCCAAAGCTGGGCTGGTTCAAAGCCAGGAGCCTGGAGCTTTTTCTGAGTCTCCCAAATGAGTGCAGGGGCCCAAGGACTTGGGTCAGCTTCTGCTTCTTTCCTAGGCCATAATCAAGGAGTTGGCTTGGAAGTAGAGCAGTCAGAACTTGTACTGGAATCCAAATGGGATGCCAGTGCCACAAGTGAAGGCCCAGCTGACTCTGCCACCACACTGACCCCATAAAATATTCTACTAAAAAAAAAGAATATGCCATCTCATTTTATGAGTTTAGTACATGTTGAATATTTCTCTTAAGATTTATTTATTTTTATTGGAAAGTCAGATATACAGAGAGGAGGAGAGACAGAGAGGAAGATCTTCCATCTGATGGTTCACTCCCCAAGTGAGCCGCAATGGCTGGAGCTGAGCCAATCCAAAACCAGGAGCTCAGGACCCTTTTTCGGGTCTCCCATGCGGTACAGGGTCCCAAGGCTGCTTTGGGCCATCCTTAACTGCTTTCCTAGGCCACAAGCAGGGAGCTGGATGGGAAGTAGAGCAGCTAGGATATGAACCATTGCCCATATGGGATCCTTGTGGATGCAAGGTAAGGATTATAACCACTAGGCTATTGCACCTGATCCCCATCTCACTCAAACTTGGGCACAAAAAAAAAAAAAAAATGCTAATAAATAATCAGGATCAAATGAGACCTATTCCAATTATATGATCTTTATTTAATTCTCCAAAACCATATAGTGTGGTTCATAAGCTTAATAAACTTAATCATGCAAGCACATAAAATTCATACACCATTCATGATAAATACTCTGCAAAGTGGAGCTAGATGTAATCTTCCTGAATTTCTGGTAAAGGCCATTTATGAAAAACCAAAAGTTAATATTAAATACTTTTTGGGAAAAAAATGAATGCTCTTCTTCCCAAGATCAGAAACAAGGCAAGGACCACTTATTGTTTAACATTGTACTGTAGATGCTACCGAAGACAAAGACATCCCTATTAGAGATGATTCTTCTAAAGAGAGTCCGAAGGACTGCTAGAGTGAGAACGAGAAGGTTGCAGTGGGGCTGGCACTGTGGTGTGCCAGGTAAAGCCTCTGCCTGCAGCACCAGCATCACATATGAGTGCTGATCCAAGATCCAGCTGTGCCACCTCCAATCCAAGGGCACAGTGAAAAATTTGACAAAAAGTTTGGTAAAGCTTGATGGAGTTGTTGGTTTTATGGGTATGTGCTGGCATTGTGGTACAGACACCGCATTCTCATATGGGTACTGGTTCATGTCCTGGCTGCTCCACCTCCAGTCTGGCTCCCTGATTATGTACCTGGAAAAGCAGTAGGAGATAGACCATGTTCTTGACCCCTGCCACCCATGTTAGCTCCCAGCTTCAGCCTATCCCAGCCTGGGCCATTGAAGCCATTTGGTGCGTGAACTCTAGGGCAGAAGATCTCTCTGTCTCCTCCTTTTTTTCTCTGTAACCCTGCCTTCAAACAAGTAAGTAAATCTTTTTTAGAACATTTAAAACTCATTGATTTTGCATTTTAAGTAGAAGCAATTATGTGCACAGATTACACCTCAAGATATTTTTTTTAATGTCTAGTTTGTAACTCTCTTGCATCCAAAAGTAGTACAAGAAGCAAGGGTACCCTTGGTGTCCATGAGAATATTTATTCCCTTTTGCTGTTGTTTAATTGAGTTAGAAAAAAAATTGGAGGGTGTGACATCAAAGCACCAGTCCTCGTGCAAGACCTAACTACACAACTCTCATCTCCTGTTTAATCACACTTACCGCCATCATTCAAAATGCCTGGATTTCAGGCCTCATTCTCTCCACTACCTTTAAACTGTTTCAGTTCCTTCTGAGCCTTTGAAATGGTGATTTTAGACAATGCTTTTTTCCTACTCAATGCAGCACTCCAAATTTCAAGTCCAGTCTAATTATAGAAATTCTGTAAGGACAGCCTGATCCCTGTGACCAGAATGCATTGATCAAGAATGAGGCTTCAGGATTTTACTGCTTGTCTTAATTGCTGTGGGTCAGGAGCCGGGAAGGAGATGTGCATTGAGGAGCCAGGAAGGAGATGTGCATTGAGGAGCCGGGAAGGAGATGTGCATTGAGGAGCCAGGAAGGAGATGTGCATTGAGGAGCCGGGAAGGAGATGTGCATTGAGGAGGCTGAAGGGCCTTACATCACTCCTCACAAGGACACCTGCTGATAAATGGGCGAGCCTTATGTTGCGAGCACAAGTCTGGGGAGTTGACAAGAGCTGTGCAAGCTCCTCAAAGCTACTGCAGCTACTGCAGCTCACATCTAGATAGAACCTTTGTCTGAAAGTTGCTTTTAATCTTGTTTTCCTATTTTTCTTTTTTTTCCTAAATGAAAAAAAAAAAAAGCTAGATTGTTTAAAAGTGGCAGTTTGGTCAAATCGCAGGGGGACTTTCATGTCACATGCTTAGAGCTGAGAAGGGGAAGCAGTCCCTGGATGGGAATCTTGAAATAAGTGAGGTCACCTTAACGACATGCTTAGCTTCCTCTCTGGAGGCTCATCCATGCAAGTTCTGAGATAACCTCAAGCTTCCCAATGGGGCCAATCTTGTGGAGCTTTACTGCTTGGTGATGCCAGTGTCTAAATCAGAGTACCAGTTGGAGTTTCCATTGCTCTTCTGATTCACCCCCTACTAGCGTGCCTGGGAAAGCAGCTGAGGGTGGCCCGAGGGTTTGGGCTACTTGCCTTCCACCTGGGAGACTTGAGTGGAGTTCCAGGCTCCTGGCTTTGGCTTGGCCCCGCCCC